GTACTTCTTAGCCCTAAACAAATAGCCTAGCTTTTTCCCAGCAGCTGCAGCTATTGAAGAGATGTGTTCGTGCCAGATCAGGTCCTTGGCGACCTGGACTCCGACCAGCCGAAATGAATGGCTCTTTGGTAGAACTCGACCGTCCATCGAAACTGTATGAGCGCTAGGACGCTTTTTGTTCGTCAAAGTACAGTACTGTGTTTTGGAAGCATTGAACTGTACAAGATTGTTGCGTCCCCAAGCAGTGATAGCCTCCAGGTCTCTTGTCAGAGAAGAAGTCGTCGCTAGTCTTCTTTTTTCCAGCTCAGCGACAGAGATCGGCTTGTCTTGTTGTTGTTTTTGAGTTCTTGGAGGGTGGCTGGTTTGTTGACGTAGACTTTGCTTTTCAAATATCCCCATAAAAAGAAGTCCAAGGGAGTCAAATCGCACGATCTTGGTTGCCATGGCACATTTCCTCTGCGCGAAATCACGCGATCACCGAAGAAGGACTGCAATCGATGGATATTGACGTTGGAAATAAACATCGTCCATATCCAATCCTTCAAGTTGCGGCAAAAAATAGTCCTCTATCATCACGTGATATCGCTCAGAATTGACGGTAACGGCGTCCCCGGCCGCATTTTCGAAAAAGTAAGGTCCGATGATGCCTTTTGACCACAATGCACACCACACAGTAACTTTTTGAGGATGCATCGGCTGCTCTTGATACCCACGGGGATTTTCGTTCGCCCAGATGCGGCAGTTTTGCTTGTTTACCGTCCCATTCAAAGTGAAATGCGCTTTGTCGCTGAACATGATTTTTCTCAATTTGGCGGTGTTCAAGGAGCCAATCTGAGAACGTTCTGCGCGAAAAATGGTCGGCCCGACGCAGCTCTTGCGTCAATTGGATCTTGTAGGTGTGTACATTCAAATCCTTGTGGAGAATGCGGAGCAAACTGGTTCTCGAAATGCCCAATTCTTGGGATCGACGCGTTTTTGATTGATTCGAACGCTCCTTGGCCGGCCAGAGCCTGGCAGATTTGCCACAGAACCTGTTGGCTCGAATTTACGCACCAGACGACCGATGGTTGTTTCGTTTGGGAGGTTATTGCGACCGAAATGTTCACGAAGCGCGCGAAACGTGTTTTTCATGTTTGCACCATTTTTGTAGTGCTCTTGAATAACTTTAATGCGGTCTTCAATTGAATACGACTCCATAGCGATCAATGGTAAACATTCAACTAACAAAATGACATGCCGGTGACAGAAAACAAAGATAGCGTCTATGTCAAATTGACGTTCACTTTCCTGCGTCCCTATTGGACAACCCTTTATTAGAACTGTGTTATTACAACACACCACTTTGCCACAAAAAGAAAAACGTGGTACCTGAGTTGCCGAATCAACGTGGTTGTGAAGAAATACTGCACCTGAGGTCAAACATTTGGAAATCAACAAAACTGCTGGGAATGTATTGCAATTTCATAATGAAGGACAAACTTGTTTTAAGAAGATCTATCTAAATACGTAATAAAATATGGGGCATTGTATTAAAAAAATACATGTTTTCTGTATATACATTACAATACATATATATGTATTAAGGTCATTTGAAAATATGAAAATTGCTACAAAGCCGATTTTTGATATTTTTTCTATTTTCGTTGGGACTCAACATTCATAGCTGAGGAATGTAAGAAACTGGTGTAGTATACCAGAAGCAGCAACTATTTTCCGACGAAACAAAGAAGGAACCTTGATCATTCTGTAGCCATTGAACAGAGATGGACAATTAATCGCAAGCGTGTAGCATTGCACCAGAAGTGGAAGACCTCAGTAGCCATGTAGGCAAAAGTCTAAATACCAGGGCAACGCGGCAACCCTTTATAAAAATAAATGAAAGGAAACTACTTTTAAAAAACATTGTACACCATAAACGCCCTTCTTAATACCATATACCAAATCTACCAGGGGCGTACATAGATTTGGAGTGCGTCAATAGGTAATAGGTTTTTATACAACCTTACAATGTTTGATACCTTCATTAGAAAACCATGAATCTTTCAAATAGGAGAGCTATGGTTCATACCAGGGTATCAGAACCAAGCAGTATTGCAATGATCCAATCTTAGTCATTATGGTATCGATGAACGCCAAGTTTCATGTACTACTGTTTCTTTGTCGATAAATGTAAAGATGTCGGTGAAACTATAAACAAATGAGACTCTATATATTGCAATCGCAAAACTCGTAGGACGTTTAGCGGCACATTCCAAGTCTCATAAATATCCACGGTAATTGTTCGGTTCAGAATTGCCATGTATACGCTTTCACGTACCGAGGAAAACACGAAAATTCTCCATTAATTACCAACAACAAATAATATTAATCTTTTGTGAAACGTGTTTGAAACTCCGCGGGCTCATTAAAGAGTTAATTATCGTTTTAGATATTTGCCGCAAATTTATAGGGACGAATTATCAAAACACGTTTCCAAGAGCACGCACTTTCTGGAAGGAGGAATTTTCCTTGTTATTTATTGCTGGAACCAATAATTTGGGTCACATCCTGGTAAATAAGTCATACGTTTAGATAGTATTTTTTATACCGAAGCGGCAGCGTAAAGAGAAAGAACCCTAAATACCGGAGAATCGCGGCTGTATAAGAAGGTTTTGAACAGGATCTGGTAATGATAGTCTGGACTAGACATAGGCTAGTAGTATGAAGGGTATTGCAACAGAGGTAGGAACTCGTTTCGCTAACACATCTTCAAAAGATGTTCACCGTTTGGAATCCTGGGAGCTACTGAGTAGTCAGTAATTAGGTTTCATCATTACTGTGAGATTTTTTCTTTTGTGTAGGTGGTCAAACAAAACAAGTTCCGATTGACACCTCGGTGATTTGTGGCTTAATCCGTCTCAAGTCACTGGCGCTCTTAACCTCCCCTACTCTCCGCTTTATTGAGCTATGGCCTGAATTTGCACGCCACTAGGCAACTGCTTTGCATTGACTCACCCTTGGATTCCATTAATTAATTGAAAAAAAGGAAGGAGGAATCACACCACCATTTCCTATTGTTTATAAAAAAAGGCCTGGCAATTTAACAAAGAATACAGGTACAAAATTGAACATAGCATTATGGTGTGCTTTCGTTACGTCCCCGATCTTTTGGAGCTGAAACTACATGGCAGGCTGTGCAACATAGGTAGCACGGTGGGTTGTAAACGAGATATGATAAATAATACGAAAGTGCCCTTGTTTTTAATCTGATTACTCATCCAATCTCTTAAAACGTTTGCCTTCTGGCTATTGCACACAAGCAGGACTTTTACGACTGGATGGCATGCTTCGAGGCGGTAATAAAGAAAGAAACGTTGCTCAAACATAAAAAATAAAAAAGAAGAAGCTCGTCTATATGAAATGATATAATAAAGTTTTTACGTACCACGTACTGGATGCCAGTTCTTCTTCTTAATTGGCTCCAGGGTAGCTGGAGGAGAAGTAGCATTGCATCATTTGCAGCTAGTGATATAAGGATACAGGAAAATAAATACGGGTAAATTCCAGCATAGTTCAAATTATCAAATTTACCGTACATATAAACCTCAGACTTCAGATGATTTAGGCAGACAAGGTTTTTATTTGTGCGTTTTCTTAAAAATAGAGTTGAGTTCGTACTAGGTACTTTTTATACAAGGACAGGTAAGGGACTTGAATGTGGCTTTTGCCTACAACGTTGGAACAAGATGCACCAGTATCGTTCAGTTTAAAGCCAATTTGAAGGAATTCCTTGTGTACTATAACTTTGTTTATAATTGCTATGTTGTTTGCTTTATATATGTTTAACTATTAACCCTGTAGCGCTTAGGCGAATAGCACGGCTATAGTTGCTTAGGCGGGGTTACCAATAACCGCAGTGATATATTCCTATTTAATGAACAAAACATAAAAGATAGACACTTTTGTTTCAATAATAAAACATTTATTTCAAACACTCGGTACATATTTCAGCTCGATGATTACTGCAAACAGCCTTGAAACATTTCGCACAGGCAGTTTTTGTTTTTCGGTCATTTGTTCTTGGACATAAAATGCAGCGAGTCTGCTTTAGCAATTTTGCTGGAGGTGGATCAACTTTTTCTTCCGTTTTCGTATCTAGGATATTCATTATTGATTCTTTCAATTTTCGAGGTATTGGTTTTGTCAAACGTCTTTCCATATGAGGCCTGACCAGTTGTAGTCCAAGTTCAAATAGGTATTTTCGACAACAATTTGGAAAATAATGTTGGAGTTAATGCCTGCTTGATCCATTATACCATAAAAAAAGCGCAATGGCCACCTGCGTGTTTTGCGGGATACCGAATATGTGAGCACCATATGGTCAAAGGTATCGACACCTCCTTTGGTAGAATTGTAAAAATTTATTATCTCGGGTTTTTTATTTTCATCTATTGTACTACCAGAATGCATTGTCGATAAAAGTAGCCCAGATTTAGACTTCTTGGGTGTGAAGGACACCAAGGTTTTTTAGTTGTCGAATCCAAATTGAGAAGACATAATTTCTTTTCGTTTGTTTGGGAGAAATGATGATGGAATTTCCCTCTTGTTTTTTCTGAGAGTACCCACATTGGTCAAATTGTAGTTAACAAGCATTTTGTCAGCCAGTGGGATGGAAGTAAACCAATTGTCCACCGTCAAATTGCGTCCGGTTCCGTGAATGGGTTCTGTCAGTTTTCTTACGTAATGAGCTGGGAGAGGTTCTTTATCTGGCCTATTTTCTTTGCCGATATATGGAATAGCAGTAACCATATAATGTGTGCATGAATCACACATCGTTACAACTTTGATTCCATATTTGTCAGGTTTTGATGAAATATATACTCTAAAAGGGCAATTGCCTCGAAATCCCAATAACTGTTCGTCGATGGTACAATAACTGTGAGGAGTATAGTATTTTGTACAGTTAGATATAAACATTTGCCATATATTACGTACTGGAGAAAATTTATCTTCTCGGTCTCTCATGGTTTTGTCGTCAAATCTGAGGAAGATATCAAAAATCTAAACCTTGTTTCACTCATTACGCATCGATAGACTTCTGGTCCATGCTTTGACCACATTTCTGCTGTAGTTAGATGATTGTCTTTTCTACAACCTGTCATATAAAGCAGTCCTATCAAAGCCAAGATCTCTTCAACGTCTGTCTCGTTAACAAAGCCACAATTAGCAACATATTTCCCTCTTTGTCGTTCTATTTCCATATTTGTATGCACCACTATAATATCTATAACGTTTGCGCTAAAAAATAACTTCCATGCCTCTAATTCCGTTGAAATATTTTTGGCCGCACCTTTTGGTCCTGGAATACATGAAACAATGTTTCGCTTAGGTGTTCGAGTACGACATGGAAGCTCAGTGCTCCAAATATGTCCATTTTTTCCTTTTATTACTTTGCCAGGAAGTTGTTGTTCTGTCTCACTCTCTACTTCACTATCATCCGTAGAGTAGGTGCTCTCCCTGTCGGACTGAATTGAAACATGGTCGTCATAGTCAGTGCCGTCATTATCTGAATCAGGTTCATTGTCGAGTTCTTCATTCCATCGTAACAGAGTTTCTTCAAATTTGGGATCATCTGGTCGGACAGCCATCTAAATAAATTACGTAATCTAGTGTGTGGAATAAAATAAAAATACCAGTTTAAGCTTACCTGGGGTTACTCGTCACCCCAAACGTAAAATATCATATAAACTATTGCACTGAACAAAAATGTGCGACCAACAACACACACACTTTAACCTCAAATGAACATAGCGGGATCTCCGATGTTGCCAATTTATGCACAAAAAATTAGTGAACATTTGAATTTTCTTTGGGGTGATGCGAAACCCCACTAAGCATTACAGGGTTAAGTATGTTCAGTCATTTAATTTGACGAATCTTATGCATGTCTTTCATTACCTGAAGGATAATACATAATGTAAGATATGATAATCATGGAATATAACGATAAACGTGAAAACCATAAACCCATCTTAGAAGGTTCCGAAGTACTAGTCTGTACACTGTACCTTTTCACTTTTATTACGAGAGTAGTACATACACCACTTAACACGGGCTTCAATATCAGGATAATTTCAAACCCACTTACTTGGTGACATAACGACAGGGGAGTTGTTCGAGAGATACCGTCGATAGAACTGGGTTGTCGGAGCCAAGACTATTTTTAAGAAAAACCTTTTGAGTACCTATCATATTCTACCGACTCATGACATGCACAACTCTACTGTCTATTCATTATGTTAATTAGCTGTCTCAATACTGATCACAAAACAATATAATAATGTCCATGATATTTCTCAATTATATTATTATAAATTACATTACGTTGCATGGGGGAACGATAGCATCCTACCGCATGGAAGTCACACCCATGTCCATAACGAGGGGAACGGTAGCTTCCTACCGCATGGAAGTCACCGCCTGTTATGGAAATATAATACCCCGCACGGGGGAACGGTAGCTTCCTACCGCCTTGAAGTCACGCCCGATATGGATACCTTAATAATCTGGTGCTCAGACAGATATGCCAAGTATTTGATTGTTACGAAAAGCAGCCCAGGAACTAGGATATCACGTTGTCGTGTCAACAACAACAACAACTTTAAGTAACAATCCCTATACACATCTTGCCATGAGATACCTCCAGATTCCTGCGATTGCCTCGAGAAGAACCTAGGCGGTCACACAGACCCAGGATACCACGCCGGCCAATGGCCGTTATGTCAATACCCAATACGCTCCGACATTTCCCCTGACATAGGAATCCGAGCAGTAATTCTCCAGATGGCAACCCCGCTTAGTAGGTCTCATAACAGCCTCCAGGATATGGCGGCGTCATACCTCTGTAGATGTTTGACTCTAAGTTACCTTTAACTTTATCTTAACTGTTGATAAACGTATCTCATCTGACTAGTTTTGACTTATTACAATTATTATCATGATTATAAAGGTACCATGGTTAGAAAATACACGTGACATACAGTACAGAAAAACAATAAAAGATACACACCACAACTTGATATGGACACTATTCACAAAATCACAACACACAGGCACTTCCACCTTTCATCTGTTAGAACAATATTAGAATGAACTAAGAGGCCCTGTGCCTCAGCGTGCCCTTGGTTTCACGAATACGCAGGGTCGAAATTGGTTGTTGAAATGTGAATGCCAGCAGTGCCTTTCTTAGCATTCCAAGTGTCAAGCGATACTTTTACAGGGTGACTCACGTGCAGAAAAGTGTATGCTTACATAAATTTGAATTTTGAAATTTGAGTTTCAATCCAGAAACCAGAGTATACCTTCCCGAACGCTTTTGACTGAATCCAAATCTATGATGCAAATATCTCTACTGACTTGACGAAATATCCTAACATGACGGTGCGAAAATAGCGATTTTTCGCTTTTTGAAGCTATGTATCACATCGAAATATTTTTTTTTTCAAAAAACCATTGACATCATCTCAAAGTAGCCTTGCCCTAAAATATACTAAGTGACATATAAATCCGAACACCCAGTTTAAATGGTTTTATTTTAATAAAATTTTGTATAAGTTCTTAATGAAGCATAATAAGTAAATGATAAAAATTTCAAAATGATTGCACTGCTTTAAAGCCCTTTGACCTTTAATAATGTGTGGAAGCACCCTGATGTGCTACGCATTCTCCAACGCGCCTAGGCATGCTTCTGATCAGGTGGTCAATGTCCTCCTGTGGTATCTCATTCCAGGCAACCACCAACTCCTCTCGAAGTGCTTCTAGAGTCTGAGGAGACGTTGCAAATTGAGCAATCTCCTACCCATCATATCCCACACGTGCTCAATTGGGGATAAGTCGGGAGATCTTGGTGGCCATGGTAACAATGTGACTTCATTATGTTGAAAGAAGTCTATTGTGACTCTTGCAATATGTGGCCGGGCATTATCTTGTTGGAAAGTTGGATCTGCCAGGGTGTCAAGATAGGGTAAAAGATGGGGTTCTAGAACTTCGTGGATATAACGCTGCGCGTTCATGTTACCTCTGATGAAGATTAAAGGTGACCTGGAACCATAAGCTATAGCACCCCAAACCATAACTCCAACAGTGTCTTTCAACAAAAAACTGTGGATTCGTCCTTTCACCACGGCGCCTTCTAACCCTGGCACGACCATCGTGCATGCCTAAATAAAATCGAGACTCGTCACTAAAGACAATACTGTTCCATTCCTGATCCCAGAGTGACGGTTGTCTGCGATTATGTCGGTGTTCTCGAGTTAAAGGGAGGACCCAGTGTGGCCGGTATGAAAACAAGCCAAAACTTTTCATTCGTCGGCAAACACTTCGCATGCCAATAGGTCTTCCGTGTTCTGCAAACCATTCATTTGCAATGGACCTGGTAGTGGAGAAACGGTCCCTTAAGGCCAATAATCTTAGGCGGCGATCTTCACGGTCTGTTGTTCTACGGCGGCGTCCAGTACCCCTTGCTCTTTGCGTACGGCCTTCTCGAAGCCATGCCTGACAACACCTAACTACAGTGTCTACACTTCTTTGCACTCTAACTGCAATTGCCCGAAAAGAAAGTCCAGCTTCCCGAAGTCCCACTATACGGCCCCTACCAAACTCACTAAGTTGACGAAATCGTACAGGTCTCCGTACTCTAGGCATCGTAACCGATCGTAAAGGATGTCAAGAACCAAAATCCGCCAACGTTGATTCTTTACTGCGGCTGAAATATTCATTTTTAGAGCGTTAGTGAATAAAAAAAAAGCAGTATAAAAACCAGAATGTCCAACTGATAAGGCTGAAAATTTTTTCACTTGTTATTTACAGTAAGATAAATACATCCACCAACTTTTATTAAAAGCAGTGCAATCATTTTGAAATTTTTATCATTTACTTATTATGCTTCATTAAGTACTTATACAAAATTTTATTAAAATAAAACCATTTAAACTGGGTGTTCGGATTTATATGTCACTTAGTATATGTGTCTTGGAGACTAACAAGTAACCGCGACAAAATTATCCTCAGTACCGCTGTCCGAGTAGATGGTTTTCGTCGGGAATAATGAACCAGAAACACACCTAGGTAACAAATGGACCAATTAACGTAGTAACTCGTTCGGTGCGTTGAGATAATAATGACCTGATTTTCGGTATTGCTTCTCTGACACTCGGGATAAATGTAATCAATTAGCAGTTTTGAATATTATCAGGTTAGCTAAAATGGGATTTAGCGGCACTTAATTAGACCATTACTCAAAGCTCAACAGTGCAACTGTATCTTGTTTATTGGCGGTAAGTCTACGGTTAACAGCGCTGAGGATTGTGGTTCAAGATTCCGCAGGAGAATGTCTCACTACCAATATTTACTAGGGTCGGTACTTACTGAGGATTCCATCAGTGTCATTCAATGAATTCAAACTAGGTGGAAGGAGCAGAACTACAATTTGGTTGTCATAAAAATCTGAATCTGTAGTCAAGATGAAAGTGCATACTCCAAGAAGACTTGATAGAAGTTCGTATTTTCCGTGTTATTTTTTAAAAGTGTGAGTGTTTGCGGTGCTAAAGTCGCACGTCCCTGTTTTCTTTTTTTCTTTCAACTACCTGTAAAAGTAGTCGCCTGGAAGAGGAATATTCACGCACAATTTCAGAGCTGAGCTTATGTTTGTTAACAAGATCCGATTGAAGGAAATATGTACAACGACATGCACAAAAAATGCATTTTTGGCAAAAACAATTAAAAAATTGTTTTTTAGTCATCTCTATACACACCATGAAATTATCAGATGAAAAGGATTTAGAATACTGCTGAAAGCAGGCAGTTGAAAAAATCTTGCATAATTTGCACATAAAACTGACACCAGCCTACTGGAGGTAGACCTTTCCACTGGTAAGTGTTATCATCTTGATACAACATTGCCACTTTGGGAGCCAATCGTAGTCAAATGAGTCCAAAGTATTGATTGGTTACATGGAACTCCAAAATATATAGTTCACAATCATCGTCTGAAGACCGAATTGAATATATTTTTTCTCTTCAAACACGCGAAATGATATGGGTTTGTACAACCTTGAAATTGTATACCATCATTTGGTGAACTAACATAATTGACATATGTAAAGCCTTTTATCTGTCAGATTGCGGACACAGGTCACAAGAAATCATTTCTAAATGAGTCAGCCTTGTTCATCCCAACGGCTTTTTTGATGTTATGTTATCTATTTTCTTTAGCTTTCTACTTTTTTAGTCACTTTCTTGCCAGGTAGTTGTTAGCATCTTTCTTGTAAATTTCAACTGCAGAAGCTGTTTCACAAATAGCTAATTACACGTTGTTTATTCCTGTGGTATCAAGAATTTTACAGTGACTTCCAATCACAAATGGATACGACTTGACAGCATGATTATTATGAAGCTTTGTTACCTCTTTCTTGTGTATGCGGTAAAATCAGAGCTAACATTGTTATAATTACAACAACAATAATGTAAAAGATGCTCCTCATACACTTCAAATGAAAATAAACCGATTTCCACAACCAAAAGCTGATTATAATCTAAGGCCCAATTTCACTAACAACAGTCTGTTATTCTCCACCTATAGGGTAACAGACCGTCAGATACAGCGAATGAGCTTCAAGTTACAATCAACAAATTTTAGCAACAAATAGCTATAAAATGTTGAAAACAAAATACTGTCAAAGTATGAGATGACAACTTATTGAATATTAAGAAATTACATATAATTCAGTCAAAATTTTAAGAAATGTTTGATTTTTGAATTAAATTCATGTTTTAATTACTATTGTTGATTTTTTATTCTTGTTTATATTATTTTCTTCAATTGATATGTGATACTGGGTGTTTTTTCCTATAAACCTCT